ATGACCATCTAATTTGGCTTTTTATTATCCTGTTTTGACATCCCATAGACGGATAGAGTTATCATCACTACCAGAAGCTAATGTATTTCCATCAGAAGAAAAACAGACTGAGTTGATACAATTACTATGACCATCCAATTTGGCTTTTTATTATCCTGTTTTGGCATCCCATAGACGGATAGAGTTATCATAACTACCAGAAGCTAATGTATTTCCATCAGGAGAGAAACAGACTGATCTAACTTCATCACTATGACCATCTAATTTGGCTTTTTATTATCGTGTTTTGATATCCCATAGAAGGATAGAGTTATCAATGGTATTATACCTAGGATTTCGGCTACAAGTTGCTACAGTACTATCAGGAGTGAAACAGACTGAATTCATGTTATCATTATGACCATCTAATTGATTCAATTCATGGATCTTAATATGCTTCCACTTACAATTCAACAGAAATGTTCCATTCAGATTCATACTGCTTATAGTTACATTATTAAATTCAGATCTACTTAAATTGCATTGAACCAAATTTGCTCCTAATAAAGAAGTATTTTTGATATTTATGTTCTCGAATGATTAGTTCCTAATATCTACCTTCATATCCACTAACAAGTGAAGTGATTTTGACCCACTTTAAATGAATAGTTTATAAAAATCTGTAAGTTGAATTAATAATTGTAATAATTAAATAAAAATCACATTATGTGATTTTTTAAGTAGTAGAACTAATTTAGTTTTTTCTTGTTTTTCATTTGAATAGCTTTTATTATTAAAGTCATGTGCTTTAATTTAGAAGTTCAGTTAATTTTTAAATGTTCTCATCTATATCGCTTATGATCTATTATTTATCAAAAAGTGACATGTTTTTAGAACTTAAAAATATATTTTTTAAAAAGTGCTTGACTGTTATCTTATGAAAGAAATTTGATGCGATTTACTTACTTAATATTTCAATTATCACATTAAAAATAGATTCATCAGTTAAAATCTAATACAAATCTTCCTTCTGCTCATTCGTCTTTCTTTTTATTTCAGCTTATAAAAACACCTTACAATAATATTTTAATGTCATTCTTAAATTCCTCTAGATTAATTATTTTTTAATTAGTAAAATAAATTCATTGATTAATCTTTCAGAACTATTTATGAATAATTTTTTCTGCTTTTATAAAAATTAATTTGTAATATAATTTTCAAATGAAAACTCTTTTTGAATTACTGATAATAATTAAGATTATTCAAGCTAGGATACTAACTTTAAAAAATAATCGTCCGAGTTTGCTTTTAAGTATTTTCTTGTGGTCTCATTTGATATTGAAAATTTTCTTATTTTTTTCATTATATAATTAATTCTAATTTAGTGAAAGGAAGCAATCTTCAGCAGTTTTGGTTTAAGATCTTAATTAATCCTGTTGTCTTGGTATTATTTTCTCGCTGTGCTATTCAAAGGCATTAAAAATTATTCTTAACTTATTATATCTTTAGCCAAGATAATATATTTTGGACTTTAAATTCAAATTAAGGAAATAAAATTACTTCCTCTTCAGATGGAATCGCAGAGTTATATTCTTCTAGTTTAAAGTAGGGATGAGGATTTTTTTGACCTAATGAAATTTCAAATAATAATTTGTATTTAAATCTCAAAAAAACAGTTCCAAAATATGTTTATATTATTTTTTAAGCATTTTTAGTATTCTTCTATGATTTAAAAGAATTTTTTTTATTTTCTTCCTAAAAACTTATCCCTCTATATTATAATTTATTCTTAAGGCTCTTATTCTCTAAATTTGATTAACCATAACACAATGTCTGCATAATTTATTCCAATTCATCAAACTTTGATTATTCATGTTTATAATAATAAATTAGTTTCTCAAAATTACTAATTTTATTTTGTTTTTTGGAATTTTTTCGCTTCTTAATATATGACAGATTGTTACAAATAACTAAATGTCTTCCAATTTCCTAATTCAGCAATTCCTCTTTATCTTAGTAATTTTCTTATAATTATTAGTTTATCAATAAAAATCTGATATTTAATTCATAAAATTAATGATTATATTGAGATTCATTGCTCATTTCTTATTTGAATTATTAGATCAAAGATTCCCGAGCACTTAAGAATTCTATATTTCTATTTACATATTTTTCAAACTTTTGAATACCAGAATCTATAATAACAATGAGATTTGTGGTTTCCAAAAACTAAAAGAAGTAAGTTCTAAAAATTCCAAAAAAGACAATTCAATTAATGTTCAATCTCTCTATTAATTTTACACAATTTTTTAAGCATCATCAGTTTAATTAACAAATCTACACTCACTAATTATTTATTCTAATCTTTTCTAATATCTCTAATTCTCAAAATTATTAATATTATTGTCAACCCATACTAACTATAATTGTTAATTCATTTTTTTTCAATAATCTACAAATTCTGCTTTTTAATTTATACTAATAGAATTACACATTTTTTAATTTTGCATTCTGATTAAAAGAATATTTTATTAAAATTATCAACTTTAAGAAAATTTTGAATTAATTTCTATTTACATATTTATTCTGCTATTTTTTCTATCTTGATTAATAATTTATGCACTGAATACTATATCTAGTGCAATGTAATTCAATAAGAAACAAAACTATAAATTATTTATATAGCTTCAGTATCAAAGGCAGGATGAATTTGAGCAATTACAAAATGGCGTGCTTCCGGAATCAATAATATAATCTTTAATAATCTTTTTTTAGTTCTAAACTGAGATCCTTTAAAAAATGAATAAATTTTTGCTTTATTTATTTGCACACAAACTCTTGGTATCTCTAATACTCTTTACCCTAAATTCATAAAGCAATTCTTTATCTTCCTCTATCATGATCCCTACATGTTACGATAAAATGACAGAGATTAATACCACATTATCCTAATCCACACTTGATTCGGAGTGAGCTTTAATAAATTTGAAATTTCTTAAAGCTTTTTACTCTATGTGAGTCTTAATGTTAGTTTACGTAACAACTTCTGTTGTAAAATAATCATTATTTATGATTGTTAATCAAAATCCCTTAATTGTTTTTTGTATTTTATCAATAGTCTGTCATTAGGATTATTAATTTATTGCTATTTTCTTTATTAAATTAATTTTTTTCCTTTTTCATTTACAATTATTTTTCACAGTATATATACTTAATCAATAGTTTATAAACAATTAGGAAAATTATGAACTCAACTTTCAAAATTTTATGGTTTTATCTGATATCTCTCCCTTAATAGGAATTATTACTAAATTCTATAATGCTGAAGAGTGACCTACGACCATAGTCATGCATTTGAACGGTGCGATGAAATTTGAGTTATCCAATAAGACAGAACTTTTGAAAAAGAAATTGATAATCGAATAAAATAAGTTGTTTTTTTATTTTATACATATTGGAATAATAACATGTAGCTGATGCTATGAAAGAACAGTTTAAATTTTTGAAAATGGAAAAAATTGAGATATATATGTTATTTAATGGATTATATTATAAACAAATGTCTATTAAAAAGAAATCTTTCTAATTTAATCTAAATTAGATTACATTGAATTAAGAAAAGAAAATTACATTCAAATTGGAAATAAATAAATTTTTATATGTTTAATAATATATTATATTTTAAGTGTTTGGTCAAACTAAGATTGAATTTTCTTATAGCTAAAAATGTAAAGTAATAATATAATTAGAAATGAAATGATAATTTTCTGAAGATGCACAAATTAATAATTGATCATTTTAAACTATCCTTTAAGAAAGTTGGAGAATCTAAGATAATCTAAAATAAACTAATATACATTAAGTCGAATTAAAAGTCTGAAAATATTTCAATTAAAATCCAAATATATAATCTTAAATAATTTTTTCTCAGTAAACATAATTATAAAGTAAGANTATTTTTTCTATCTTGATTAATAATTTATGCACTGAATACTATATCTAGTGCAATGTAATTCAATAAGAAACAAAACTATAAATTATTTATATAGCTTCAGTATCAAAGGCAGGATGAATTTGAGCAATTACAAAATGGCGTGCTTCCGGAATCAATAATATAATCTTTAATAATCTTTTTTTAGTTCTAAACTGAGATCCTTTAAAAAATGAATAAATTTTTGCTTTATTTATTTGCACACAAACTCTTGGTATCTCTAATACTCTTTACCCTAAATTCATAAAGCAATTCTTTATCTTCCTCTATCATGATCCCTACATGTTACGATAAAATGACAGAGATTAATACCACATTATCCTAATCCACACTTGATTCGGAGTGAGCTTTAATAAATTTGAAATTTCTTAAAGCTTTTTACTCTATGTGAGTCTTAATGTTAGTTTACGTAACAACTTCTGTTGTAAAATAATCATTATTTATGATTGTTAATCAAAATCCCTTAATTGTTTTTTGTATTTTATCAATAGTCTGTCATTAGGATTATTAATTTATTGCTATTTTCTTTATTAAATTAATTTTTTTCCTTTTTCATTTACAATTATTTTTCACAGTATATATACTTAATCAATAGTTTATAAACAATTAGGAAAATTATGAACTCAACTTTCAAAATTTTATGGTTTTATCTGATATCTCTCCCTTAATAGGAATTATTACTAAATTCTATAATGCTGAAGAGTGACCTACGACCATAGTCATGCATTTGAACGGTGCGATGAAATTTGAGTTATCCAATAAGACAGAACTTTTGAAAAAGAAATTGATAATCGAATAAAATAAGTTGTTTTTTTATTTTATACATATTGGAATAATAACATGTAGCTGATGCTATGAAAGAACAGTTTAAATTTTTGAAAATGGAAAAAATTGAGATATATATGTTATTTAATGGATTATATTATAAACAAATGTCTATTAAAAAGAAATCTTTCTAATTTAATCTAAATTAGATTACATTGAATTAAGAAAAGAAAATTACATTCAAATTGGAAATAAATAAATTTTTATATGTTTAATAATATATTATATTTTAAGTGTTTGGTCAAACTAAGATTGAATTTTCTTATAGCTAAAAATGTAAAGTAATAATATAATTAGAAATGAAATGATAATTTTCTGAAGATGCACAAATTAATAATTGATCATTTTAAACTATCCTTTAAGAAAGTTGGAGAATCTAAGATAATCTAAAATAAACTAATATACATTAAGTCGAATTAAAAGTCTGAAAATATTTCAATTAAAATCCAAATATATAATCTTAAATAATTTTTTCTCAGTAAACATAATTATAAAGTAAGAGGTCATAGTGAAAATTATTGAAAAAAATTTGTATCTTAGATATATGTTTATATTTGTTGATTTGAAAATGAGGGCATCTATTGAAATTAATTAATGACTATAGATCATGAATTAGAAATTAACTTAGCAAATGCTTTTTTAGATGCTCATAGTAAAAAAAATTCTAAAATGTTCAATTTAATTTGCAATTAATTTTACTGTGCTATCAAATAGCTCAGGAATCAATTGTTTTGTAGAAATGAGAGTTGATTTTATTTTCAACACAAGTAATTAAATAATTGATTTTGATAGCATCATGTAATGTAAACAATTAATTATTTTTTAATACTAAGAAATATCAACTTAAGATTGGAGATATCAAAAAAGTTGGAAAATCATTTTTAACTATTTTGAATAGGATAATAATTAATAAAAATAGTAAAAGTTGAATATTTTTACTGATTATCATGGAACAAAAAAAGAACAACTTTGTAGTCTTCAATCCAAGTGAATTGTCCTCCAAAGTACTAGCAAATTATTTTAATTATAAAAACTATCCCAACTTTCTCAGGTATCAAAAAATGAAATATGTATAATTTTAAAAAGACCAGGAATTAGTTTTTGTAAAGCGAATTTGGTCATTAATGGTTTAGGAGAACTCTAAAGTGTAAAATTAATGATAATCTTTGTAAAAGTATGCTGTAGTATATAAAAAATAATAAATAGCGGAGAGTCAGATTTAATAATAGAAATAAAGAGAGTAGTTAAGAACTTGATAATTTTCAGAGAAAGCATGAGAGCAGGAAGTAAATTGTAAAAGACCTCAAAGAAACCTAAATCAAATTATAGGAACATTTAAATTTCTAATATGAGCTATCTGTGACTTTATACCATTGAAGAACATATTATAAGTAACTTAATTAGATTATTTAGGCGATAAATTTACCCTAATTGAATCAAAAGTATGATTAAGTGATTCCCATGCTAGCCAATGCAATTAACAATATGCCTTCTCTGGTTATGAAAAAATTTATATTTAGTGTATAACTTTAAAGACATAATCAAATATTGTTAAGAAGAGATTGATTGCATTATTACCTAAAAGACCGTTTTCTTTATTACTTCATTCTTAATTTAACTCTATTAATATTAAAATGATCCAAAATAATAATTATACAATAAAAATAGTTCCTTCGCTCTAACAAAATCTAATTAAAATACTTACTTATTTATAATATTAAAAATATCAAGCTCCATAACATAATTATTCCCTTTAATCCAATTGCAAAATTGTCCCTATAGATTTTAGAATATACAGATGTTCCCATAATGTCATGACTCAAGGAATGTAGATTATGTAAATTAAGTTCAAATTTTATTCTATATACCAATAATTGTGAACCCTTATATGATTGTATATTTCTATATTTATAAATTAAAACTTGTATACAATATAATAATAAATTTATTGATTAAGATTTTAATATAATTATTTTAATAATTTCTCAAATAACTGGAAGCTTAGAGCAATTTGATATATTTAAGACTCCTGAATAATTGATTAACAATATTTAATTTAATACTATTAAAATAATTCATTACATTCCCATATCATCATCATCATCTCCTTCTCCACCTTCCTAATTAATCCCATATTCATCTTCTCCATCTTCATTTTCTACTTCGTCTATATAATCAGCTTATTAATTTCCTACAACTTTGGGCTATATTAAATATTTGATGAAATACTTCAATTTTAACTTTCATCTAACCTTAATACTTTTTCATAACGTTTTCAATCTCAGCCAAAGCATCCTTCATAATCTTTACTCCATCTCTTGAGATTGTAGTTGTTCTACCTGTATAAGATGGAGATGCTTTGATTTCAAACTAATTTAAAATTATAGAATACTGATAGTTTGCATTCATCAGTGGATTTCATTGATCCAGCGATTAGTGCTTCTTTGATAATAAGACTTCCAGCATAATCATGACTTATTAAGTCAAATTCTGTTTTAATAGTAACTGGTTCTGGTTTTAATCTCCTCTCAATCTCTTCCATTAATTTAAGTTAAATTTATTCAGATAGATTAAGTTTAGCCAAATGTTTCTGATCTGCTAAAGCATTTTTAAATAATTAAAGAACTGAAACATTTTATTTATTGTCTTATAATGGCCATACAATAGTTTTATATAATTCCTGAATATTGATACTGCATTTTTCAGCAATGGCTCTCATAATCGAATGAATCATTTTTCCATCTGCAAATTTTTATAATGACATTTGCTCTTCATCCTTAGCCACCTTCTTCTTAGACAGATCAATATATCCTTAATCTTCATCTACTCTTAGCACTCTAACAACTTGAATTTTTCCTATTTTTAAAGCTTTTTGAATTCCACCCTTTAATGCTCTAGTTGTTTCATTAGGGGGAATCATGCCTCTTATTCTATCATATTCTAATAATTCGACATATGATGCATTTTCTTGAACTTCCACTACCTCTACAACAACTAAATCATTCTCTTTTGGATACTAATTCTCATAAAATCTACATCTTAGATTAATTCCTTCATCTATTACAGGTTTAATTTCTTGGATCATTAAATAAAATTTATATAATATTATTTTTCAATTTTCTTCTTTAAGGTCGGTATTTTTATTTTTCTCATCATCCGTGCCTCTCGTATTAGAATTATTTCTTTTTACATTTTGAAAGATTCCACTATTCTCTTGAATATATTAATTCAAAAACTAATACATTCTCATAAAAATCCAAACTCTCTCAATAATCAACTGTAAGATTATGAGGATCACTAATTTGAATGCTCTGAACCTACATACAAGTCTTGTTTAATTATTTATTGACAGAATTTAATCAATAGTTGGGTAATGATTATCATTTTAATAGATTTTAAAGCAAACAAAATATTTGAACTCTTCACTTAATTCGAATAGATTTAATACTAATCATCTAACTATTCATATAATACACCCTTTCGTACTTCTTCATCCTTATTATAACAAAAGGTATTATTTTTCTTTAGGTTCTTCAATTTATATTAAATCTTAAACCAAACACTTATAGCAAATTCATTTATACAGTATTTATGGTATTCTTTTACAAATTGTTAAGGGAACTGCATGTTCTAAGCAAAAAATTTCTACATATCATTTTTTAAAATATAGGTGGAGGGGACAATTTCGATATTACTTCATTAGAAGCATACCTTTGATTTTATTTCTTAATTTCATAAGTCAGTCAAGCAAATTAACCATTTAATTCTCAATTTTAGAAATCGATACCATCAAATGTAAAAGATGCCTAATCTAATTTAAATTAACCATATAAAATTCTAATTGCTTATATTATTTTATCTAAATATAATATTATGTGGCAGCCCATCTTAATAAGAAAATTGAATACAGGCCAATTTATATTTTTTAAAGAATAATTATCATTAGATATTTGAATTCATTGTTTGAATATAATAGGTAGATCATACAATACTACTTTTTGAATTTACACAATTAGTTTATTTTCTTTACTAAATAGTACTTATTTTCAAATACACAAGATATAAAGTAAGTTTCAATCAAATTATCTGAAGATAGTAATCCAGTTTATCTAAATCAATAATCATAATCAATCTCATAGGTTTTACTCTAAATTGTTTATTGTAGGACCAACTTTTTATGATAGGCAGGATTAAATAACTATTATTTTCTTAATTCTTAATTTTATGAATAGCCTAATGTAATTATTAATATAAGTGAAAGAATCATTAATAGGTATAAATTCTGCATTAATTTGAAATATTAGTAAAGCATTCATTTTTCTATATGAAATTTTTGTAGACAATAATAATATTAGTTAAAATTTTTGTATCAAAAATTTATATAATCTAAAATATTTTAATAACTATCTCAAACAATATTTAAAATAAAGGTAAATAATCCGTGCTTAATTATGGTTATTATGTTGGGAGATTGTGGAGTAGACAAAACAACGATTTTCAATAAGTAAGAAGATCTACTTAAGTAAAAGTTTTTTGGATATCAATTCTAATACAGAAACAACCATTGGAGTATAACATCATTCATTCGCAAGAAATAATGCTAAATTTTCAATATGGGATAGTGCAGGATAGGAAAAGTACAGATCCATAGTGTCAAGGTGTTGATCTATTTTATATAAAGCCATGAAAAAAAAAGCAAAAGCTGCGATTGTGGTTTATGATTGTTCAAATGAAACATCTTTATTTTGCATATTGATAAATGGATAAGAACTTGTTTTCTAAGCTGGTTCAAATGTTAAAATTGCATTAATAGGGATAAATAAATCTAAAAAACAATTTTGGTTAGAATAAAACAGACTGAGAAAACTTCGACATAAACGAGCATACTTAAAAATTAACTGAATAATATGATATTGAATATCAAATTTAAATCAATCATTAAGATCTAGAATTCAAAGAAAATATGAATTAATTATTAGACAACATTAGCATAAGTATAGAATCAATCTTATTTTTATATTTGGGATTGATACCTCTAAACTAGTAAGACTAATCACCGATTTCGAATATTAATTTATAGGATAATAATGATTAAGTTAATGTGATTGAATTTAATCATTAAAAAGATTAACCAATAGAAGTGTTGGCGAGCAATAATAATCAAGAAGTAAAAAGTTGTGAATGTTGAATTAGTTGATAAATAAAATAATATTACTAATTTCTATACATGAATACATTTATTTCAAAAATATTTAAACCCAACTCTTCTTAGATTTTCATAGGTGCATAAAGAAAAAATATTTACAATAACACTTCTTATCACAGTCACTTAAAATCCTTTATAGAATGCCAAGGCTCCTCCTTCAGAATAGATTTACTTAATGATTCTAATTGTACTTTAATATCAATGCAATCTTTACTTACCTTTCATTTAATACTTGATATCTAGTCTTAACAATATCAATTGGATAAGAAATACTCCAGAAGCTGGCAGCTGCAGACATACTGGCCATCAAGATTCCAAATTAGGATGCTTCTGTTCTATCTCTTCCTTAAGGGGTAAAGTATTGTAATGTCTTCGCATGAGATACAAAATATAAACCGCAGCCAATTGAATCTCTCATTAATTATAATTTAAGACCTCTAAAGAATTAATTAATCGTAGTTTACTTATAAATGTTAAAAAAGCCTTAAGTTTTGAATATTTGAAACAATTTATGAATTGGTCCATCAGTTTACTCCATTTTTTATAATTTTGTTTTTTAGGATAAAATTTTACCATATTCTAATGGACATGCAAATATATTGCTAGCAATACCCTATTTAATGTAATTGTATAATACTGCCATACTTCCTGCTAAAAATGTTTGTTAAAATGGTAAATAGCTATGTTCACTTAAATTATCCATTCTAGCAAACCACTTTCTCATATGTTCATAAGTAGGAAAATATATTGATCCAGCGCAAATTGAATTTAGAAGCTGTATTGATACCCCTATGCAAATGTATAAAATCTACCTCTGTACAAAGTCTTTACTCCTTCATCTCTAATAATTTGAATTCCTGCTTTTATCATGCCTTGCTTTTTATGTTAAATTTGAATTCTGGTTTTGATAAAATCCAATGGATATCCAATTAATGTATGAATGCAACCTATTCAATTAGATTGAGTGTTTACTTGAGAGAGTGCCTGAAACAAAATTAATGATGAAATATTTCATGTATAATATTTTTTTAGATTAATGTGACTTATAGAATCAAGAAATAGAGTTTTTCTTTTTAATGAAGAGAGTGTAAGTTTAAAGTCTTTATTCTAATTATTTAGAAGCCAAATGATGTTCCCAATTGATGCTATCTGCTTAAGTTGATTGATTTTATAAAAAGCCAGTTCTTAATTGATTGTAAAATTATTCTAAGACTTCTTATTAAGCCTTGATGTCTATCGCTATAAGATCAGGAGATTTAAGTTGATTACAAAAATACTTGGCACATTCCTTTAATAAGGCAATGTATTCAAAGAATGGATGAATGAATTCCACCTTCTCTACATCAGGCTACTTAATTTTAAACATTGATTATATATAATTTTTCCTCCAACTAAAATAGTTGTCATTCCACCAATGTTCTTATTTCTTCATTAATGTATTTACAGCTAATAATACTTCAATAGAAACCTAAATTTATTGTGTTAGATACATACTTAAACCAGCTAAGCCTGAAAATAATGGAACAACTCAACAGCATATTCATTAAAATCAACTTATAACTCTTAAACTCTAACTGATACTGAGATTAGTTATTTGAGTAAATAGATCAATTGCATTGCTGCATCTGTTTCTGGAATAAAGTTTCTTATTAGAACAATTGATTTTGTATTTAAAATACATTTAACTTCATTGACTGCAATCCAAGTCTTGCCTTCATTAACTATTCTATTCTTGTTTATATGTTTAGATAGAAAGGTTGACAAATCAGGCTAATTTAATTGTTCCAAACTAATCTAATCAAAAAAATGGATTTGATCTGTAAGTCTAGGAAATTAAGTAGCGAGATTAATTTAGTTTATTTGATTGGCAAAGTTCTTATTTTATTTCTATGATTAACAGGTTCCCATTATTACAAATTTATTGCAAAATCAGAGTTTATAATATTACGATTATGTACAAATAGTATCAATTTAAAGTATAATAAATCATAATATTTTATAAATAGAAATCATTTTTATTGATTATGAGCCCACTTTCTAGCAAATAGGAATGGATCATTTTGATGTTTGACATTTTCTGACAATATATCTATTAGAACTTCATAATCTGGATTTTATTCTTTTAAAATAATTTGACTCAGCAAACTAACTAAATACATGCTAAGTAATTTTCCCTAATCTTCCAATTATGTATTAAAAAATATAAGAAATGTGTTATCCATAGTGAAATTCAATACATGTTAAACTTTTTCATAATAAGAGTTCAATTAATTAATCCAAATATTCAATTAATCTTTATATTATTTTGGAGCAAAAGAATAGAATGCTTTAGCTTTGATTGCCAATAATTTTCTCAATAGAAAATTACATTTTTATTTTTGTTCATTTTAGATATTCATATTTTTGATAACATTTTCTAAAAACCAACAAAAATTATATGTTGGTAATATGATAGCTGGTAATTATATTAATTAAGATTAAAACTTTTATTTTTATTATTACTATCTTACACCTTAGGTTGAAAATGAACATTCAGTTGATATCTATCCAATTTGTTCACAATTTTCATTTTTCATTTTTAAGATATTTTATGGTAGATCCTCTTAAGTTGCAAAATCAGATACAGAATTTACTTTGCAATCTGTTTTTGAAAATATTTTCATTGAATCAAATTTCTTCTAATCAAATGTTGAAGCTTTATTATGAGATTGAACATGCTTTTAGTATTTCTATCTTTAACTTTCCATAGTTGGTTATTTAGGTGTTGAGAGTGGAGAATTAATGTTGGATTATACGAATTAATAATTTAGTTTCTACAAAGGAGATTGGACTCTTGGTGAAATAGTATCGTTTTGGCTTTGGTCTTATTTCAATATTTAGATAATTTAATTTATATTGAGTCTGTCTTAAGGATTTATTTAAAGCATTCCAAATAACAATGTTTTAATTATGGATTAATATTTAAATTCCTATTTCTGACATTTCTTCAGAATATCTTCATGAAATGTTTTTATATCTTGTCTATAAGGAGGAATACAATTAAACAACATTTCGTAGAGCATGATTCCTAAAGCCCATATGTCACTATAATCAGAATATTAATTTGTTTATGAAATTTCTGGTGCCATATACATAGGGGTACCAACATTAAATCTTTTTATTACACTTTCAATTTAATCTTCAATTAAGGCAAACCCAAAATCAGCTAATTTATATATACCATCCTTAATTAGGATATTGGCTGGCTTTATATCTCTATGGATAATTTCTAAAAATATAATATTTATTTACTTTTTTCATGCAAAGCTAGAATGCCTTTAGAAACCTATAATAAAATAGATAAAACTTTTTCAGTTGTTAATTCATTTTTTTTCATTTATTATTCCAGACTACCTTCATTACATAATTCACTAACAATGTAGGTATTGTTAGCACTTTAACTTATTTCATAAACTCTCAATAAATGAGGGTGATCTATTCTCAACAAAATGGCAATTTCATTTTTTAAAAGAGATTTTTGTATAGGGGATGTATATGTTTGGGAACTAATTACTTTTATGGCTACAACTTGATTGTTTTTGATGTGTTATCCTTTATAAACTTTAGATGAGTATCCGGAGCCTATTTCTTAAGAGAATTCGAAAATGTATTCTCCTATTTACTTTTTTGTAAATTCCTTTTAATTTTTCATTTGTTCACTTAAAATGGAGGAGTAAGATTTTAAAATAATTTTTATTATTCAAAATTAAGGAATAATTTGTAGAAGCTAGTTAAGAAAAAAAAATATAGTATTAAATCAATTATTTCAATGTTAACAAATCTTTAAAACATAAACAGTATTATGAAATTATTCGTAATATATAGTTCTAATAAATTGGTAATCGTTTTGTTAGTAGGATCATACATTCTAGTAATATTTAAAAAACAGCTTAATTATTATAATGTTTTAATTAAGAAAAATTAATTTACTTTTGTAATTGAATTGATATGAAAAATGGAATTATATAAAATTCATTAGAATTATGTGATTTCCATCAATTATGTAATTAATTTCTTCAATAACTTCAAATATTTATATTGACGTTTATTAACAAGTTAGCTAAGAATTTAAGAATTTTTTATGTGATTTTTAATTATTTATTTATTATGATTGTTTATCATTCAAAACATAAAGAATCTCAAATCTAAATGTGGTTTAACAATTATAAGCTATCATTATAGACATTTTTATTGAATAATTTTAATATCTTTTTCCATTTTATGGGTGTTTGCTCTAGCAATCCTAAAAGAAAATACGCTTCAACAAGAGGTAGTTAGAGTACCTTTTACAAAACTCAAGAAGTTTCGACAATAAAATCGAACAAAAGTCTTAAGAAACAAAGAACAAATTTTAAAGTTGCTCCTAATATCTTTATATCATTAAAGAGTGGAAGCATACTCTCCTATTATAAAGTATAATCAACCTTAGGGGAAGGTATTTATTAATTTTATATTTATAGGAACCTATGGAAGAGTGAGCTTGGTGATACAAAAATCAACCTAGATACTTCGGGCAATGAAATAGATAGCAAAGGACAAAATACTTGTAAGTTAAAGGGATAAAATGATTCAAGAAGTAAACATTTTAAAAAATCTTGATCATCCAAACATAGTAAATATTTATGAACTCTATCAAGATGAACATCAATATTATCTA